CCACTGCCGCCCCCCCCCCCGCCCCAAACGGGGGTCTCTGTCTCACCGGGGCCAATCTGAGCAGCTGCTGCTGGTCGATTTTGAAGAGCTGCACCTTGGCGCGAGTCAGCAGACTGTAGACTTTGTCCATGCCCGACAGCTGGGCCGGCTGTGCAGCCGGCGCTGCCTCCTCCCGGGTGGGCGCCGTAGCTCCCTGCTCCTCGGCCTCGCACCCAGAGCCCTCCTCCTCCTCGGACTCATGGCTGGCCAGTGAGGCCATGCGGCGGATGGCCACCTTACGCACCACGCCTGGCACGTCCACATCCTCCATCTTGATCAGCTCCATGTCCGGGGGGCCAGGCAGGTGCTGGGGGGGCTCCCCAAAGAGGGGCAGGGTCAGGTGGTTGGTTCGGCCCAGCAGCCGCTTGCCACTGCGAGTCATCACGGGTTCGTAGTGGGGAGAGGGGGGCTCTGGCCGGGGCACGGGGGACAGTGGGGGGTCCTTCCCAGCTTCGCTGAGGCACACGGGCTCCTGCTCCTCGGCCGACACTGTCAGCGACTCGTAGATCTTCAGGTGGGCCTCACTGGGGGTGAACTGAGGGGCCCGGAGCAGTGGGGGCCGCCTGGCTGGCGGGGAAGGGGCAAGGAGGGGGCCAGGTGGGAAGAGGTGGGGCTCCTCAGGGGGCAGCTGGAAGAGGGACTTGCCCGCCTCGGGGGGCAGAGGCGGCGAGGTGCTGAGAGAGGTCCAGCGGAAGGTGGGCTCCCGCAGGATAGAGCGCCGCTTGCCAGGGAGGGTGGGAAGAGGGGAGGCTGGGGGCGAGAGGCCAGGGGAAGGAGGGGGTGACGAGAGGGGGGAGGGGTGTTCGTCGGGCGAGCGAGGGGGCTGGCCAGGCGCCACCTCCTGGCCAGGGGCTTGCTGTGGGACTGGGGGCTCCCCACGGGGTGGCCCCCCCATTTCAGGGGCCTTGGCCCGGGGGGCTCGTCGGGGGGGCTCGTCCATGAAGCGCCGGGGAGGACGGATGAGGCGGCAGGAGCGGGCGCTCACCACGGGCATGATGAACTGGCGGATGTTCTTCAGGAAGGTAGCTTTGTGCCCGGGGGGCTCCTCGCCCACCATGCCAGCCCCCTCCCGCTGGGCAGCCGCCACCCGCTCAGCCCGCTGACTGGGGGTGAGGGGCGGCCGGCCCCGCCCCCGTTTCAGACACTGTGCCCGTGTGGACTGGGCGATGGAGGCCGGGGCAGTTGACTCCTCCTCTGCCTGGGCCGGACACGGGGGCGATGCCGGTCTCTCCTTCACAGCGCCCTCGCGCCGCGCCGGCCGCCGCGCCCGTCTCCGCCGCTTCCACCGGGCTTGGGTCGGAGAGGCCGGCTCGGCTGGTGCCTCATGGGGCGGCTGCTCCGGAGGGGGGGCAGGGAGAGTGGGGGAGTCCTCCGGCAAAACATCCCTCCTCCTTGGTGGGCTGCTCTTCCTCCTCTTGCTGCCCCGCTTCCTGCCCACGGGGGGCTTTAGCCTGGCCCGGGCCAACGCCACCCGCCCCGACTTCAGCCGTTTTGCTTTGGAGACAAACTTGAGCAGCAGGGGCAATTTCTTCCGCCCACGCCCAGGGCCCTTCCTCCGGGAGCTCGGGCTGGCACCCGAGGCCGGCCCCTGGCTCTTCCTGGGGGGCGCTGGGGCAGTGCCGGGAGCCTTGGCACCCCGCTGAGGGGCTCCCGGCTTCTTCTTGAAGGAGCCACGGGGGCGGCCCCGCGGGCGGTGGGGCACCATGGGGTCGTGGCTCTGTCCCCTTGGGGGGCTGCTGGGGGATGGGGAAGGGGGCATGGCCTCAGAGGGCCCTGGGTCCTGCTCGGAAGGCATCCTGGTGGATTGGGTGGGGCTGGCGCCCGGAGGGGGCCTGGCCAGCGGGGGCCTAGATCTCTGGAGCAGCTCGGCCAGGGCCTTGACCATGCGCTCCCGCTGGGCCTCGCCCTTCCTCGGCTTGGCCGGCGCCTTGGAGGGTGCTGCAAGCAGGGACACGTCCCTCTTCTTCCTGCCGCTGGCTTGGGGCGAAACGCCTGCAATGAGAAATGGGAGGGGGGTGAACCAGGGGGTTCGGGACTCAGGACCCCACCCATGCACCACCGCACACCCAGCCAGCTAGCAAAGGTGATTAACATGTGGCAACTCCATCCCAGGCCCCCAATGCTGGGGGGTGACAGCAGCCATCACCACAAGGCCTGGCTTAACCCTGGGGGGACAGCAGCCATCACTCCAACCAAGACCTGGCTTACCACTGGGGGTGGCACTGTGTGTCCTGCAGTAGAGAGACTGGACCCCCATTTGTACCAGGGCACCCCAACTGAGATGAGATCCCCTCATTGTGCCAGGTACTGCACAGACACCCCCATAGCCGTTAGAGCGAGGTTCTCTCAGCATGCTGGCCGCTGCCCAGACACACAGAGACAGGCCCTGCCCACTGAGATCAGGGCCCCATTGTGCCAGGTGCTGCACAGACACAGCGAGAGACAGGCCCTGCCTAAAGAGCTCACAGTCTGAACAGCCAGAGGTGGATTATCCCCATTTCACAGATGGGGAAACTGAGGCCCAGGGAGAAGCAGTGAGCTGCTCAGGGTGACACCAGGAGTCAGCGGCAGAGCCCCAGCGTGTCCAGCATCCCTCCTCCCAGCCACCCCCCACTACACATCTCTCCCTCCCCTTCCATGTTGGAAACGTGCTGCAAACACAGAGCCGGAAAGCCAAGGGGCTGTGGGCACTGGACAAAGGGAATCCCACGTTCACTGGCTGGAGCCAGCACTGCGTCCCCAGGAGGGGCCCTCGCCCTGACCAGGCGCCCTGAGCACTGCAGGAAGCTGGTGTGGCCAAGCAGTTTCAGGCAGAAGAGAAGCAATTCCCCGTCCCCTGCAGGCATGAGCTATGGCTGATGTAACTGGGCCCACCCTATGGCGGTAGGTAGGGGGAGCCCAAGAGATACCGTTATAATGCACAAGATCGGTGTTCATGAAAGGCCTTGTGCTGCGAGGCTGACCCCTGTGGGTCAGAGGTAGTGTCCAGGCAGCAGCCCCGTTGCAGCCAGAGACAGCCAGGCCCCTGTGCAGCGGTGCCAGGCTGGGGAACCCCAAGGGCCCTGTGAAGAAGCACAGCGCAGGAGATGTGACGGGAGGCTGGGGACATGGGACGCCAGTGCTGACACCTCCCCGGTGCCAGATTGAGGGGGCATCCGCATAGGGTCAGGCCGGCCAGTGCCCTCACCTCTCTGGGAGCGCAGGGCGGCGCGCAAGGAACTCTGGGAGACAGGCTCATCGGGAGGGAAGCCCTGGAACTCTTCCTGTGGGGGGGGGGGGAGAACAGAAAGGGGCTGTGGTTAGATGGAGGGTACCAAGCTCCAGCCCCCCAACATGAGCTCCAGCCACCCCTTGCTACACAGACCTATTCCAAGCAGCACCGAGCTGGGCCCACCCATAGGCCCGGGTCCCACCCTCCCATTTCCCCCCCACCGGGCCCCAGCCATACCCCCCAGACCCCATCCAACACACCTATTCGGAGCAACTAGAGGTGGCCATGCCCACACCCCTTAGGCCCCACCCAGCAGCTATCCCCCCACGCCCCCTCCCCGGCCCCAACCTACTGACATGCCACACAGCTGGAAGCAAGTGCCCAGACGGGGAGGCTGGCACAGCCCCGCCATGGGACAGTGAAGGATCAGGAAGAGCCACTGGGGCACTGCCAGGCCAGCATGGGGAGAAGAGATGAACCCGGTCAGCTCCATGCTACAGCGGTGCGGTGGGGGATCCCCGTCACAGGGACACAGACTTCCCTCAAGCCAACAGATGGGGCGGGCGCCTCACCCATTGTCAGTGGGATTGTACCCAGGGTGAGGCCTGGACAGGCCATTGGGACCAATCCCTCCTCCAGCAGCCCAGCCGCCGTGCTCCCAGAAGCCCCTGGGTGGGGCGGGCAGTGGAGCCCACCCAACACTAACCACTAAGTAACTTCGGCTCGCTGGCTTCCTGCTGTACCTGCGCAGGTTCACCCGGCTTCCTTACTGCACATGGAGATGCGGCCCATAGGACCCCCGCGGCAGGCACAATCAATGCCCCTCGGACGTCCAAGAGACAGCCCTGCCCCAGCCAGTCTGCAACCCATAGCGAGGAGAGCCGCTGCCCCAGAACGGGGAAACGGAGTCTGGGAACTGGTGGCACGTTGCCCCTAGCTGTGCACACACCGGCTGCCATGCCACCATACCCAGGACCATGTGGGATCAGAGGGTGCTGGGGGGACACAACTAGCTAGTGGGATGGGAGCATCCCCTGCCTAAAGAGAAATGTTGCCCATTCGCTAGCAGCTTTGATAGATGCCCCAAAGATAGCAAGGGCCTTAACGGATTACACTCCCCCAGCACTGAGATGCAGCCGCCTCTAGGGCAGAGCAGCTGGGGAACAGCTGCATACACCACCACACAGGGAGGCTTGCCCAGCGCTAGATGCAGCTGCCTTCACAGTGGAGCATGGCAGGCACACAAAGACACGAGCACTTCATCATCGTGTAGCCGTACCAGCTACCCCACCCCAGAAGCAGCAACATGTCAGCAGGGGCAATGAGAGACTGTTCCCCAGGTGTCCCATCTCAATGCCAGATAAGCCATCCCTGTGTAGCTATTTCCCAGCGTCCCCCAGAGGTGGCTGCATCTCATTGTCCAGTCCTGGACAAGGCATCCTCGTGTAGTTATGTGCGGTTGTTCTCCAGCTGCCCCACCCCAGAGGTGGCTGCATCTCAGCACTGGACGAGCCATCCCAGCATAACATGCTTCAGCTCAACTAGCCCCAGCAGTTAGGTACGCTGAGAAGCTAGAAGCAGCCCTGGGGTGTGAACCCTGCACAGCATTGCCCCCTTCTCTCTGCCAGTCAGGCGGTGCTGCCCCTCTGTTGTAGGCACTTCACAATGGGCAGCACAATGGGCTGCTGTGCCAGCTCAAGGGCACACAGCATGGGGACTGCTGGGTCCATGCCGCAATCGTGCAGGGCTGTGCAGGCTCATACCACCAGACTCTCCCTCTCCACGTGCCGCCCCAAGCAGCGGGCAGCACTGACAACATTCACCTGTGTGCTGGGGAAGAGCCGGGGCCTGCCTGAGGTCAGATGCACCCAGCGTTTCACTGGGCAACAGGAGAGCAAGGCCAAGCTACGGCTGGACAAACTCCTCAGGCTGGGTGCCAAGAGACCACACCACCTGCCGGTACATGGGTAACTCCACCCCGGGAGGAAACAGAACCAGCCCCTCTGCTGGTGGGGCAGGAGACTGGCAGCCACCTCCACATGCCCCTTGAAAGAGCCCCGGCTAGGTCAGGAACCAGGAACCTTGCACTGGCAGAACTGCAGCGAAATGGAGCCAAGAAATAGCGGGAGCAGGGAACGGAGCAGGGAGCTTTCCCTCTAGGGGCTCCAGCTCTGAGCGGGCCCCAGGGCAGGGACTGGCTGGCTCAGGGGGGAAAGATATGGGTCATGGCACCTTTCCCCTCTAGGGGGCACCGGCTCCAATTGGGCCCCAGGTCTGTAGTGGCTTTATCCCAAGTGCCTTTGCTGGAGTCTGCAGCTCTAGGCAAGTCAGGGGTCTCATCTCTCAGCAACCCCTGCAGAAGACAGCTGCACTCCCCTGTCCGCAGGCCCCTGCAACTAGGCAACCCAAGGCCCATGGGCTGGGGGCACCTAGCTCCCCCATAGCCACAGAAGACAGACAACCCATTCTGCAGGGCAGGCTGATCCAGCGCTGGCCCCCTCCCACCCTGTGGGATCCCTGTCAGCTGGCTGCCCTCACCGCAGCTGGCCCAGCCCCGAACGCTGCCCACTCCAGCAAGGCTGGCACCTTTCTCCAAGGACGGGCTCCTGGAGTCCCGTGACCAGGCGACACACAGAGCTTTCCTCTCCAAACAGGAAAGGCAAGTTCCCTGGCCCAGTGGACACGGAGAGCCACAAGAGTGATGACTCAGGCTCCGGGGCAGACATCAGCACGTTCAGCATCTAGCAAAGAAGGGCCTGTTCAGGCCAGGACCCCCATGTGCCCAGACAGCCCCACATCGCCTTCCATAAACTTCAATCACTTTCCAAAGAGGGCAGAGTCACCAGCCCCCTTAGAAAGGTGGGGAAACTGAAGTATGGAGGGGGAGCAGGCCAGTGGCAGAGCCAGGGCTGGACCCCAAGTCTCCAGAGTGCCAGTGCTCCAACCGCCTGTTCCCTAATCAGGGGGTTCAACTCCTGATTCCAGCGTAGCTCTTGCCCCACGTGCAAGACTGCGGCCAGCAGGTCTCTCAACGCCACACTGCATGGGAGGCCAGGTCAGAGCCAAACCCAGCCCCCCAGCACCAGCCAGCCTGCCTACAGCGAGAGCCCATCCATGCCATACTAGCCCCCGGCAGGAGCAGCATGGGGCGTGACAAGGGGTGGGAACGCTGGTGCCAGAGACTCGCCCCGCTCCCGAAACAAGGCACCTTGCCGGCCATTAGCCACAGCATCACGCAGTTCACAGAGGTTCCTCAGGACAGGGGAACCTCCCACCCCTCACTGCACACAGGCCCACCCGGAGGGGGAGACCATCTGTATGTGCCCACAAAGAGGGGCCCATGCACTGAGGAGGGGGCGGGCAAGGAACCAAATGTGACTCCAGGGCAGATGCCGACTGGATCACAGCGACTTTCCAGGGAGGGCTCCGAGTGGTGCCATGCCCGGGGCAGGTCAGGAAGCTGCTGAGGGTGGCGTTGCCAGTTGCCGCCCAGACTCTGAAGTCAAACTCCAGAGGGGGACACGAAAAAGCCGGGATGAGCTGAGCCCAGTGCTGGCTACAGTCAGCAAGGGTGAGATGGGCACTGTGTGTGCCTCTTGCTGCCCAACACACACCATGTGGGGCAGGGCTCCTCCCCAGTGACCCTCGTCTGCCCCGCCCCAGCCCAACAGAACTGTTCAGGCAAGGGGGCACCCAGAACTCCTTCAGGATGGGCTCCCCTGGCCAAGTACCACCTCCTATCATGCAGCAGCCAAACCCCTCTACACATTGGGGGGCTGCACCCCACAACTCCCTAGCCCCACAAACAGCAACCCCTGCCCCAGCCCCACATAGGGCCCCCCTCAACCCAACTCTATAGAGTCCACCAAGCCCCCTAACTTTCCCCTCTCCCACCAGCACCCGCACATACCCCTCCCACAGGGACCCACCCCCACAGGTCACCCAGCTCACCCCCAAGATGCCCCCTACCCCAGAGTCACAGACCCTCCATGATCTCCCACCCCTCAACCTTCCCCACACCTCCAGCCCTGGGGCCCCAGCTCCTTTCCCCATAGAGATGCCCTCTGCAGCTTCTCCCTATACTTCCCAGTTCCTCCGGAAACTGTTCAGTCCCCCCTCAGCCCTAAGGTTCCAGTACCCCATTCCCCAACCTCACCCACAGCCCCCCGCCCTGGGGCCTCAGCTCCCTGCCCCAACAACACCGCAGGCTCCCAGCCACCCAACTGCTTCCCCCCCAGCTCC